TTGGGCAAACGTGTATTACTCTGCTGCCCCACTCCGTGGCCTATGAATTGAAGTCCCCAGCAATAATAGGCCTTCGTTCTCTCGCGTCATCTGTTATGCGATCGAGTAATTCCTCGAACTCGTCAAGCGATGCACTGGGTGCAGCATAAACACTATAGAAATAAACACCGAACCCCTTGATCCAGGTGAATCCATTACCTGGGACTTGCATAACATTCTGGACTGAACTATTCCCACACACCCATACAGAAGCTCGGTTAGTCGCATCCGAAGCCCAGGATTGAAGACCGACAATATTCTGTATGCTCGCAGAGTTCGCAACATTTATTTCATGTGCGAACCGTCTGGGTGAGAAGGTCTGGGCCGCTCAAATGTTTATAATTTTGCTAGAGGACTCTCATTTATGTTATCCTTTGCCTTTACTGCTACGGGCGAACACAGTGAAACTCCCGGTCGGGTGGTTCCTATCTTGGCAGAGCACACACCTCACTCAGCGCATTTGCGCTGAGCGTAAGTGGCATCCTTCTCCGCATAGTGACAGGTATTTCGACCTGTGCGTCTTGGAGTCCGCCGCGCCTCAGATTGTCGAAAGCCCCAACAACGATAAACTATCGCACAATTACTTTTCTTAAAAGCGCGCAGTTTCACGCACCAGCGAAAACGGGTCCTCAATTCGCGTCTGGCTTATGTTCCGTGGTAGAACGGATAAAGCGAGTTTGGTGTGTCTGTATGCTTCCGCAGGATGTGGCTTGCTGTCAAAGGTTATATTCATTCCCGCTTCGCTTCAAGACTTAAGCCGCGTTGTCAGTCGTCGGTCGCGAATTCGAGTTGTCAATTCTTCGTGTCATCCGCGTCGTTTACTTGATATCTACCCGCTTCCAGGAATGTGCTTCAGATATTCGGGAGGCTCGCGATTTTGCAACTCAGCCACAGGTATCCGGCTGCATTCCTCTCACTTTGACGACGTTCTCACCGAGCATTTTCAGAGATTGGGTCGCCTTTGATCTGGCTTAGAAAGTAAGCATACGAGAGGGCCTCGGTCACCTTGATTAACAATATCGAATCGGGGCGATAAGAGTGCGGCTTTGACGGACTCGTCTCTTCTCCCTACGAATGCAATACATTACTTTCCATGATTTTGGCAATGGTGTTCCTCTAGACGGTTTTGGTTCAGTGTATGAGGAACTTACATGTTGAAATGTTCTTCCTGCACCGGATTGATGTTTTTTGCCGACTTTCGTAGATTTCATCAGGTCTCTCTTCTCTGCGTTGTTGGTCACTGCTTACTGCAGGTCGCGCTAACTCCGGCCGCCTGTCGAGGGCCCACCCAATCATCAGCATTCGGGGCCACATCATCAGATGATCTGGTCTCCGGCTCCACATCTCGCTTGGGCCAATCAATCGTTTCACTGCGGTTACGCAATCGCGCCGCCGAGGACTACCGCAAATGCATCGAATTCCGGCAAATACCGGACGTCAAGCAGCCGAAGTCTCGCGTCGCGCTTCAAACGTCTTCGGGCCAATTACAATTGTTCACTGCAGACTGCAATCGGCTGTCTGTCGAGGACCCCATAACCATAGTATTCGAGATCAAACACCCCACTGTCTGTGGTGAAGTCGTGCGTTCGCTCATTATCTTCTGGGGCTAATTCAGATAGTGACTCCTCAAGTGACCACCATCTATTCAAGTCTGTTCGGTATGGAACTCACATAAACTTTATCTTCGTGAACATTATCCGTGGCAGGTGGCAAAATGCAGGATATCCGATCTCTTCCCCACTCAGAACCTTACTCCCTATATTGCTCTTCCGCAGACACTCTTGTGAGTTGTGATGTGTGTGTGTGTGTCTGCACAACTCAAACATGTAGTGTGCATCAGCAATGCCATGCTTGAAAACAAAACGGCGGATACCGCGGCAGGGATTGCTTTTTCTCACTGCTCTCTTCTTCTCTCTCTTCTCTCTCTTCTCTCTCTTCTATCTTCATGTTATTATATATTATATATATATATATATATATATTTGTTTGTACATTATAGTGTACACTTGGAAGGCAACCTTGGGCAAACGTGTATTTCTCTGCAACAAGCAATGGGTCTCTGTCTCTCTAGCCTTTCATTCATCCAATTTATTTTCATTGTTGTGCTGTCCTGCAATGGCCGCGCATTTGGCAAAATTACATATAAATTCTTGGCTATACGGGAGACGCCGCGTCATTGGCTGAGAGGCCAGAGTTTATGGAATCGAGCCGCGGAAGCTTTCGTGTGCAAAATTACTAATAAATAACAAAATTGTTAGGTTGGCAACAGATTTCAACAAATGAAGTGTGAATTACGCCTAGATTCATAGAATAGAGATATGTATCTCTCCTCTATGCCTAGATTTCCCGTAAGTAAACTTTAGCCTCAAACATTTATCACACTATGCCACAGCATTACTCATGAATTTATATTCCGTGTTATTGATACCAATTTTGAACTCAGCTTGGAAATTGACAATTGAATAAAGTACTGAATACTTCATTACTTTTAGAAACTGTTATGATCAGCCCACTTTTAGTTGTTTTAAATATTTTATTCCCCAAGTTCCGAATATCAGAAAGCAGTTTATTGAATCATTTGATAGCCATGTTTTCTAAGCTCTGCAGTGTTTTGGTGTTTCTACTACAATGGCTATTCATAACATTATTGTTGTGTCTTGTTTAGGAATTGATGGAAACAAATTATAAGTTACCCATCAGTAGATTGAGACGTGACGAATGACACTTCATACGTCCCGATTGGTGCACGTGAAGTGGTCTAACAGTGTGTGACGGAATTGTACACATACGCACATCTGCACGGACCACAGTTTTACTCAATTGCTGTATAGGGATAATGGTACAATAATAAAAAATAGTGTTGAATTAATAATATAAAAACCGATTCTTAAACATTAAGTTACATTAAAAAATAAACTTCTATAATATAACTCCACACTAAATATTTGTACAATTTAATTTGTAATATTTGTATAATTAAGACCACACTCTACTGCACTTCATTATGACCTCACTTCCTTTTCTGCTCTGCATGACACATTTCACAATATAACAATTATACATCGCTGTATAACCCAGTATTCTTAGATGTCCTTCATTTACTTAATAACGTCCTAAATTAATTTCCCAAATTGATGAACGCTTCGAGGAAAGGGTTCAAAGGTTTTTGCAGGCAATCCATTCCATTGCGTTATCCGAAAATTTCGCCATCCGTTCTTTGCTATCGTGAATTTCGTGGCTGGTGTATGTAGGAATACTTAGCCGCCTATTAATATCTTTCTAACCTGGATGACCGCTATAAGCTTCATACAAAGAGCAGTCTTGCTACTAATCGCATGTTTTCAAGTGAAACCCACCCTGCCATTTTCTTGTCCGTGAAAGTAAATTTAGCTGGCCTACCCAGAATCCTTTCCAAATTTTTACACTGCATAATTCTGTGCGGACCCCAACAAAACTCCATGTTGGGGCGTTGAAAGCATCTTTCACATTGCCGCGATTAAAGTGACCCATGTAACAGCTGTGCCATCTCGTATGTGTACTTCCTTTTGGATTACCTATAATGGTAATCCTTCCTCCTTCCAACTATTTCTTTCTGCAATCATAATTTGATAAGGCCCTCACGAGTTGACTTGAGGTGTTTAGAATGCAGGGTGGTCTGTCTGTATGCGGGTGTCTTGCGATAGCATACTTCCTTTTAGTAGTACCAATTTTGCTACTTTCCGTTATGAGGCGAACTCGTTTCTTCTCAACATTGTTGGGGTCATATCAGTCGCCTCGTACAAACGTGACAAAATATCAGCCACGTGCATTTCATGCTCATGGACAGCGCTGGCGGGAAGAGTCGTCGGGCTGAACAATGGTAAACCTAGGGAGCGGAAGTGAAGGGGTGCCGTGCCGCGGGTGGCCACTTGTGAACCCCGTAGACAGGCTATCTGCAGAAACGGCGAGATGACGCAGTTCCTTCAGCCGGCCCAGAAGGTAATATAAACGGACCCCGGACCTAAACTCCTTCTTCTGATTCTTGGCGCGTCGGTAGGAAGTCGTGTGGGTTGTGCGCGGCGCTGTATTTCTATGCATTGCATACTGAGGCAGGGAAGTGAAGCCGGCGTGCTACGTCGAGACGGGAGGTGCGGCATACTCGCTTGTATGCTCACGTAGGCTACTGGTGCATCACAACGAATAAGATGTCAAATTATCAGGCCAGCAGTGGTGGTAACCAGGACCATTCCTTCTAATAACGGGTCAATATTGTTTATTGTACGTAGTATTCAGGTGTTGGAGCATTTTTTCAAATAAATAGTAAATTACAAACCGTTCACGTCTGTGATTTATTGCCCCGGCAAAGACGCCACAATTGTATTCATTGCATTTAGTAGAAATCCTGGAGCTAATCTCTCTTGCTTGCTTTTATCGGGATGCCATATAATCCAGCAGCTTTACCCGGCTTCATCCTTTGGGCGTTTTCACTTCCTCTAGAGTGTGTTTCTACCCACCGTGGATTAGGCTTCAGCTTAGCTACTCTGGAAATTACTCCAAAGCTATACTTGGTTTTAAGTACAAAATTATTTGTTTATTCGAATGTGAACGCGTTTCTCGATGCGAGTGCACTAAAAAGGCGACTAAAGTGGATCAGGCGCGATAAGATAAAGCAAAAAAGGTGAAACAGGAGATCAGGGACGCAGTTTACCTGCAAATAAAAGTAAAGCGTAAGTACCCATAAGAGACGTACTGTGGAAATTGATAAATGGGAAACGGTGGACTTGATTTAGCAAAGGTCCGTGAAGAAAGACACATGTATTACTCGCGCTAGTTTTTTTTTTTTAATGATGACCTTTCTTCCCCTCTCTGGCACAATAGAAAGTTGAAGGCAAAAGCTCGCAGCGTGCACTAATGACATCTTCACTGGTGCGAAATAGAAACTATTTTCCGTTGATGGCAATACGAATAAATTGTGTGCATGAGTCTCTCCAAAAAATCTAAATAAATGACCGAAGCAGGTTAAGATCCATCACAGGAGATACCTCGAACTCCTAAGAAAGTTAGAACGCAAATTATTGAGAAAGTTTTGAAGGCATGACTGATTCTCCAGAGATTGGTATTGCTTCATAAAATCTAATGGCCGATTCCGTAATTAATACCCCCACTCTACCCGCACATCTTCAATCCATCGTTCAAGAATAGTTGCGCGAGTAATACCGATACTAGCGACTTGACCATCAATCAGAAAGACGAGGAAAGCAAAGAGTTTCAATAACAGTGAGCGACAAAAAGCAGCCAGCAATCCTAGATGAAAGTAACGCAAGTGGAAGTGGGCCTTATATGTGATAAAGATTAGAAGAGAACGACGCAGCAGTTCAATGCGACGGAACTTGCAAGAGATGGCACCACACATCATGCGGAGATTTGCAACAATAGCAATTCAACGCATTACGATCGGCAAATAAGACGAAATATAAACTAATGTGGTTATGTCTCAATTGGGAAGAAGATTACATCCTATTCAAAGCTGGGAAGATCACGCATGAAATAGAATATCTGAAAACATATTATGAAATAATATAATAAAATGATTAATGAAAAAATAGAAGAGATGACAGTTTTAATTAAAAAACTAGCACCATGTCAAAACAGGGGAAAAAAACCAACAACAAATACAACATGAAATTACGAGAATTGGCAATCGTGGAAATAAATGAGACGAAAACACGAAAAGAATAGTGACCAAAATGTTGAAGAGAGCAAGGAAAGGAAAACACAAAGGTCAGAAGATATGAAGTCAGATGATGAGATTAATGCTACTGTGAAAAAGTATCCCAGAAGCGGATTGGATGAAAAGAAGAGAGAGAGAGCGAGAGAGAGGGAGAGAGAGGAAGAGAGAGAGAGAGGAGAGAGAGAGAAGAGAGGAAGACAGAGGGCCGAGAGAGGACGAGAGAGGAGTCGGCTGAAGGAGGAGGGTAGACAGAGAGGAGAAAATGCCGTATCGAGAGAGAGGCACTGAGAGAGTGACAGTAAGTGAGAGAGAGAGAGGCGCGAGCAGAAGATAAATGGAATGTGATGACGAGCAGCGAGAGAGAAGAGATTAGAGAGGCTGAAGAGGATCGGGGTATTGTGACCGAGAGAGCGAGTGGAGTAACATAAGGGCAGTGAAGACGGAAGCCGAGCGTAGAGAACGATGACAGAGAGCTAGAGAGAACGAGGCGAGCGATAAAAGAGAGGAGCAGAGAGGAAGATGGAGATGTGAGGAAGAAGAGGAGAGAGGAGAAGAGAGAGAGAAGAGAGAAGGAGAGAGCAGGGAGAGGGAGAGATGAGAGAGAGGAGAGAGAAGAGAGAGCATAGAGACGAGAGAGAGAGATAAGAGAGAGGAGAGACGGAGAGAGAGAAGAGACAGATGAGCCAGAGAGGGAGAGAGGAGAAGGGAGACACGAGACGAGAGGCGGAGAGAGCTGAGAGATAGGGAGAGACAGAGGAGAGAGGAGATAGAGAGGAGAGAGAGAGAGAGAGAGAGAGAGAGAGACTGGAATGAGGATATAGAGAGAGAGACGAGAAGAGAGAGAGAGAGAGAGAGAGAGAGAGAGAGAGGTCTAGAGCAAGAGAGAGAAAGAGAGAGAGAGAGAGAGAGAAAGGAGAGAAGAGAGAGAGAGAGATGAGAGAGAGAGAAGAGAGAGAAGAGAGAGAGCAGAGAGAGAGAAGAGAGAGGAGAAGAGAGAGAGAGACGAAGAGAGAGAGGAGAAGATGAAGGAGAGAGAGAGAGAGCAGATGAGAGAAGAGAGCGAAGAGAGAGAGAGAGAGATGAGAGAAGAGAGAGAACAGACACACCCACACGGCACACACACACATCACACCACATGACAGAGTCACGAGTGGAGACTCTGTAATCGGGAGCATCGACAGACACCAATAAAAGCCGGGGAGAGGAAAACTTGGCAATACATCGAACTACTGTCAAAAGAAAATGTCTTGAGTTTCCTAAACAAAAAAGGAATAAGAGACAATTTAAAATGCGAAGCTCTCAACACAAGTGGTCTTGTGGCTCACGGAGAATGTCGATTGTCTTTCACCACTGATGTTCGATTCCCGTAGAACCACGGGAGATACAACCTCACGTGAAATTTGATACAACACGAATTTACCTGCTTCACAGGGGCTTCACCGTGTGAAGCGTCCCAAACATTTCCCCTTTTCCTTCCCAATTCTGGCCGATGGATAGATGAAGCAAGGCGAGCGCGAAGACGCTACCTGTCGGAGATTCCCTGACTTGACTGACTCAGCGGCCCCTACAGGGCGCTTTAAACGGAGGTTTACTCCATAGTTGGCTCAATGCTACCTTACGGACCTAGGAGACGCTTTGAATCTGTACAGACGCAACCAATAAAAAATTCAAACGGGGGCTACCGTTGAGATATTTGAAAGAGAACACATATTTTTGCCACAGGAAGTGCTTGTCTGTGTATTTATACAATAAGATAAGTATAGAGAAGATAGCGAGAAACAAGGGACAAAAAACAGCAAAATAAAAACAATTAAGCCAAACAAGATGAGAAGGGAGACCACCAAAGGGGGCAATAACATGTATTATGCGTGTTCAAAAGTATCCCCATTTAGAACAATACATAAAACTGAAAATGTATTGCCAATCAAAACATCACACATACTTTCAACTGGAGTGGAAAGCACGAGACATACAGGATGAACTTACCGCAATGTTCAAACAAGTAAATAAAAACTAGTTTGTAATGGTAGCACAGGACTCAAACTGTAGAGCAGACACTGTGATTGAGAAAGCAACCATTGTCATCAAAAATCTAGAAATGAAAGGTCTCTCCCCCGTAATGACAGAAGCGAGAAAAATTGTATAGGCCCAAATGGATCTAGTAATATTGACCTTTTTTCCAGCAAAATGATAGGAGTCGATAACACATATCACTCATATTAATATAGACTTTACATCATGACTAATGGGATCTCCTTGCAGCACTCTCACTGATTGTGTTATTGACCTTGACCTGCTTGTGTTGTTGCAGATTTTTATATCATTTTTGCTGAGGATACTTCTTAAGAGTCTTGTGATATTATTGCTCCCAATAATACCTTCCAGTATATTTAGAAGCAGACCTCTGTTAATAGAGTCGAAAGCCTCCATTAAGTCAATGAGAACAGCATATCTCTTCCCTTTCTGTGTACACTCAAGCGCTGAGACTCAAGTTCAGGACTTCTTGGCTGTCCGGGTGATGCCGCGTCTTTGGCTGAGAGGCTGACGTTTCACCTGTCATGTCGCAGGTCTCAGTAAAAAAATATGGGGTTGTTGCTGAGAAAATAATTTTTTAAAATTTAAGAATTGCCCATGATGTAAAATAGCACAAAAAATACTCTTATTTTTGAAAAATTTAACTCTAACTTATTTGAAGAGGTTTCTGATGAACACATTTTATTATGAAAAAAGAAAATTTACCTACATAATTGTAGATGTAAGAAAAAATATAACATTTGCAATGTTCAAAAAATCAGGAACTTCAATGAAAATGAGATCTGTACAATTCATGCTATCCAACAACAAAATAGAATGAAATAACTTGGTAATTTTTTTTTTTACAGAAAAAGGAGTTCATATAAATAAAAATATTTGCTTGATGCGTTCGCGATTATGCAACATCTAACGCCACGACTGAAAAAGGCATGTAATGCTGTGACATTCCATTGTGAAGTCAGGCCTTGATGCGCCACGTTATAAAAACTTAAGTATAAACTAAAGTGAGAAAGTAAAAAATTGGGGAACTTATAACTGTGAGAAAGATGAAGCATGGGAAGACCCTTCCGATCCAGTTTGGGATAAGTGGGGGTGACAAATAATATGTCAAAGTTATAGAAATGTTATACTGTTATATCATAGCACCACTAGCTCCTTATTCACAATAACATTTACCTCAATTTTAGCAAACCCTACTAATACAAATCTAGGAGAAGATCTTTGGAACCAAACAAAATAATTAAATTATTGATTATTTACAAAGGCAAATTATTCATTTTTTTCTTAAAGTAACTAATACTTTAAAAATACAACAAAACTTAGATTTTCAATAGTCAGCTGCATTGCTAGCCAAATAATCTCTCCTTCCAATGTTGGAAGCTTGTTTGTTTTGTATAGCTTCTAGTTTGGGACAATCTGTAATTCTGTGACCCAGACCACCACAATAACTGCATCCTCGTTCATCTGAAAATAATGATGACTTTTTTAAAAATTGCTTCTTTAATAAAAATTAATAAAGATTTATTTAATCTAGTATCTGTATTATATTTTACCTCCAAGATTCAAATATTTCTCATTTTCTGATTGAAGGGCAGCTAAGAAAGGAGGTACTTTTTGTTTGGCTTCCATCAGCAGATGTTTCAAATCCAGCAAAACTGATTCATCATTAGCTTTATTTATAAATGTAGTAGCTATACCAGTCTTCCCTGACCGTCCAGTACGACCAATCCGATGTACTGAAAAAAAAGTAAATCTTACACTTAAGGAAATGAGGATTATTAAATTCAATATTAACAACTAAATAAGTAACTCACCATAATTTTCAACATCATCTGGCATATCATAGTTTATTACATGTTGCACATCAGCAAAATCAAGACCTTTAGATGCAACATCAGTAGCTACAAGAACATCTTTCTGGTTCTTTCTAAATGCTTCAACGGAACGGGAACGTTCCTCCTGATCTGCAATTTAAATTTATTATTAAGGTGCAGAATAATAAAATAAAAAAACACGCATCTTTTTGTACCCCATATATTAAACTGCAAATTAGCTTCCCTTTTTACATGGATTCACTACAGCTCAGGTTCAAGCTTTGGAAAGGGTAGCAAAAATCACAAATTAAAATATTTTTAATATTTAATAACAATTTCTGGTGACTTTTATAAAAATTCATAAATATTCACTGAATACTTACAAAAATTAAAGGATATTGGAAAAAAATTCAGTTGACAAAATTAATTAATTTTTACTTAAATGAAAGAAATTTTGGATCAATTGAAAATCTATTTTAAAATTAAATTATAACTTCTTTGAATACCAAGTTCTATAAGTATTAGAATAATGTGTAAAATAAATTTTACTTCTTAGATACATATTGTATTTACCCAAATATAAGTCGACTCTTAATACAAGATGACTCCCTAATTTTGAAAACGTCTACTGAGAATTTATTTTCCCCCCACTAATTCTTTCTACTTAGTCAAAATAAAAGTGCAAATTGTTTCATTGACGACAAAATTGTCTTGTTCATGAGAATGTTAAGTCTTATTTCTTGAACTTTTTCATTAAAATCAACATAATCATGGGTTTTCTTACTACCCTAATCATCTTCACATGAGTCAATGTTTCTTTCTTTTTGATCTTCCTTTCTTGTTGTGGCATCCTCTGATGTTTTAGGTGCTTCTGAAAGTTTTGCGTGCTAATTTTGCATTGTTCAGTCTTTCATCTCACGCTACCTACGGAACAATATTACCTCCTGTCACCAGATTTACTATCTGTCTCACATTTGATGATGGACAATATTTTTTAAATTGGTATCGTTTAATGTTCATGTGATCACGTTGTGAACTTCAAACCTCCATTTGGTGGGTAAACTCGGAGATAGCAACGCATTTTCCAGCTTGGGATCAGTTTTACTAAGAAAATTTTTTTTAATAATAATTTTCAAGGGTTTGATGTAAAATGAGTACACCTAATAAAATGAGTAATGTGTTTTCATTTCTGTCTCTTGTAAAAGACAGATTTGCATGCGCTGGACATTGAATCGAAATTTCATGCAGTCTTCTTGAACCCGCATTATGTAACAAAATCTTGGAATTCATTTTCACACTGAGTTTTGTATGATAAATGCCATTTGCTTAAGACTCCCTTATTACTGGTCCATTTAAAAACATTGGTCTTAATTGAGCAGCAAATTCGCAGAGGATACCGAGAATACAACCACAAATATAATTACCAAGTGCAAATTTTGATCTAAAACATGACCAAAAATTATCAATAAAGTGCTCTTTATTGTTTACAAGTGCCCTAACAACAAAGAACAATTACCTAAACAAAAGGTGATCCAAACCACTTTAGACAAACAACTCAAGCTGTTGGATATGTTATTGATGTAATTGATGCTTCTTCCTATTGTTCAAGAGAACTCAGCTTGCATACTTTTGGTTTGGACTGTTCTTTACAAGAAAATCTCTGTCTTAGCAAAATTGGACAAATTGACAATGGTGCCAATAAGCATCACAGGAACCCTATATTACATAGTACTCACAATGACTGACCTTACAATATATGGGAGATGAAATTGGCTACTCAGAACCGTTACACTGGTACACTGGTTCTATTTCATAAATAATGTTTCAAGCAAGTACCATTACTTACTTATTACTGTACTTACACTTAAGTACATTACTGTACTTATTACAAGTACCAATGACTTATTAGTCAAAATCAACAAAAAATGCAAAAAAATGACACAAGAACAGGTCATTTCCTTTTGTCACAACATTGAATTAGTTTTCATGCTAAATAGCCTTATTTTAAAGTGAAAAGAAAAAAACAAAAACATTTCCTCACAATCTGGTCCCTAATAAAGACATATTATAGATATGCGCAATATTTTTAGACAACATAGCTTATTGTTTCCTCAACATTTATGAATTTCGTAACATGTACAGGCAATAAAAAAACATAAAGCCAAACCGAGTAGGGTTAACCTGAGAATATAAGACGACCCCACATTTACTGACTGAGATATTCTGGAAGAAACCTAACCTTATATTCGGGTAAATACAGCATGTTTCAATTAAAAACCAAATGTTTTTCAAATATATTAAAAATGTTTTAAGATCTAATATCACACGGATTCCACTGCTCATAATTTAAAAAAAAAACAACAATATGAATTTTTATTGTTATTCTAAAATTATTTTCAAAAGCGTCAAAAATTACACCAAATCTGGCGTTGCAAAAGAGCAAAAATTAAGGGAGTACATTTCATGATATGGGAGTGTTATGTGATATACGGCCTGTGCGAATCAATTACAATATAGAATTGCATTTCATATAAATTTGTATGAATAATCTGTTATATAGTAGGTGACAAATTAATGTTGCATATGGCATCAAAAGGATAAATCTAAGCCTCAATGCCACCACCAATATTTTATGTGAGGCCAACTGAAGCATGTCACTGTTTCATACTGAAGTTATTTTAAAAATAATAATTCAATCATTCCACATCTTTTGTAAATGTTTATAACTCTTGGATTGTGTTCAATGTTTATTTTTATCCTGCTGTATTCTGTGGTAATCATTTTACACAAAACTGCATTTCAAGTACATACATTTAATTAATGCGCTGTAAACACAACATACTTGATACTCTTTAAGTACTCTAGAGTGGAATGTGATGCTTTCCTCAGACAGTTACTCATCAATTGTACCAACAACATGGACATAAAAGGTAACAGTCAGTTCTAATAGGAGTCACAACAGGTCCGTGGGTTTTAATTTTATGCTCGGAAATGACTTTCAAACATTCAATTTTCTCACCTTCAAAGGATTTTTCAGCAAACTTGGAACACCACTCTTTATGAAATTGAACACAGAATCTCAGGTATTTTTTCAGGATGCCCTTTACAGTTAGGTTAGGTGAGGTAGTATCATGTAAATAGAAATTTTACCCCTATTACAGTAGTACTTGAAATTTCACACTTTGTTTCTCGCTACCTCAAGAGAGACATCCCATGAAATGTTTGATCCTAGTTTATCACATCATATCTGCTTTTCCTTTTTACTAGTACTTCACTTACCCTAGCCACTTCATGTTGGGTAATGTGAACTTTTTCCAGTAGAAGACTTAATAATGCTTCAAAGCTATCTCTACATTGCCTGTCATCCTCCAATTTTTTATGTAGCGAACATTAACCCAGCTAATTTGCAGATCAGACAGACTCAGGCATAACCATAACATGTATATTGGCACAAAGAAAAAACACAAATTAACAATGTGTGCAGTGACAGGGATTCCCATGCACACACCATACATTTACCTTTCCCTCCGTGAATAGCAACAGCCTCTACACCCTTTAAGAGAAGATATTCATGTATTGCATCTACATCTTGCTTCTTCTCAGCAAAAATGAGAACTGGTGGTGGTGTCTTTTGTAAGCATTCCAAAAGATAAACAATTTTTGCTTCTTGTTTCACATATTCAACTTCCTGTAGAAAGATACAGCATTACTATTTTGACATTAAATGACTAGTCTTACAAATCACCAAACTCAAGAAATTTAATAACTTACTTGAATAACATTCATTGATGCAGCTCCAGCCCTTCCCACATTGATTGTAACAGGCTTCACTAGAGCTGAGCGTGCAAAATTTTGGATCTTTTTGGGCATTGTGGCCGAAAAAAGTAATGTCTGACGCTGACCCTAGAGCAAAAAATTCTTTGTAGAACTTTTTAATGTAACGTGCACTAGTAATCTAAATTAATGCAAGCAACACATACCTTAAAAAATGAAAAAATTGTTCTCACATCTTCTTCAAACCCCATGTCAATCATTCTATCAGCCTCATCCATGCACAAATACCTGAAAAATGAAACATGCACAAATACATGAAAATACTTTTATATTTTTTCTCAGCAAACAATATTTTAAAATATAACGTGTAGCATTAATGAAATATATGGAAATATTATGGAAAGTCATAAAAAAAAGTGACAAATATAGAAAAATGTAAAGTAAGAACAAAAGCTCATCTAAATTTGCTCACCTACAAACATCCAAACGTACCATCTTCTTATCAAGCATGTCCATAAGTCGACCTGGTGTTGCTACCATAATATGGACGCCCCTAACACATAACATTTTTAATAAAGATTTAACGCAGTCATTCCATTGCAATCACATGAGTTACACTCACCTGCCTATAACTTCCACAGATTCTGACACTGGAATTCCACCAATAGCTAGACAACATCGAATTTCTGGGGCACCATGTTGTTGTAAAGATGTGCAATAGTGTGAGATAATGTCATGAGTTTGTTTAGCTAATTCACGTGATGGACATATGATAAGGCCTAAAAAATTCCATTTCATAAACTTACATTTCATATAAAAATAAATAAATAAAAAAGCAAATTAGAACAAAATTAACTTCAAAGAATGCAAATTGTAATGACTTTCTTACCATATGGGCCCTCATTTTTAATAAATGGCAATCGGGTTTCTTGCTCAAGGCAAAACATTATTAGAGGCAAAACAAATACCAGCGTTTTGCCACTACCAGTAAATGCTATTCCAATCATATCTCTGCCTGCCAACCTAAATTTAACACATTTTGCCATTAGAAAATTTTGTTTTCATAGGGTTAACTCTAGAACAGATGGATTGGAAATTTAAGACCAACACAGTAATAGAGTGGAATTCCTCTGAACCAACACCTCCAATAAGCAAATAATCCTTAAACCAAAACACCTTTTAAATGAATTAAATAGGCATAAAATAAAAATAAACTATGGCACCATAAATAAAATTCCATGGCAATAGACATGAGACCTCACATTCTTCTCAGACATGTTAATTTCATGCTAGAGTGGTGTGATTTAATATGTGAAGTTCTATTTATTTTAAAACCCATATAAGTGTTCATTTTGATCCTCTCTAACTTTTATCATTTAAAAGTTCAATACTACGAGAAATAACAAACAACATAATTTTTTCATTCCCTTAAGACTGGCGATAATTCTCACACAGAACAGAACACAAGCAGGAAATGATGGTAATTTTCATATTACAAATTTTTATACTAAATAATTTTGAGCCACATAATTGATGCTTTGAAGACAAATACAAAATTGGGATTCTTTCTTTATGTTACTACAATTCTCTAAAGATTATTATAAGATATATTTACATCAGATCTACGTTTGTATTACCATTTTGAAAACAAAAATTGTTTTGATCAATTCAGGTAACACTGCTTCTATATAAGATAATATTTTATATTTCACCCACTAATCAAAAGTTTTATGATTGAATATAGAACAAAACAAAAAAGATAGGGATATTTATATCCACGTCTACATGTATCTACTTGTGTCACAAAGGGACAGTCACAGAGGGACGGTCAAATGTTTAAATTCATTCTGCGACCAGTACCATTAGCCGAATTATTTAAAAATGCTCTATGAAATCACGGAAGTTAGGCAACTCGGGACATCATTGGTTTCTGTATGGGCGACAGTACCACGACAAAACCCTGGTTACAAATAGCGACAAGCCCCTGGCCAAAGAGATATAAGGCAATGACTGGCGGTGATGTTATTAGACTAAACTTATATTCATTTATTTAATATAAAAACAACAACAAAATGAGGATTTCTTCAAACAAAATATGTACACTCAATGTCCAAAACCTGGATAAGAGACATTGTTCCGAAGAAGAGAAAAGAAAAGAAAAAGAAGAAAGATGTGAGAGTAACATCTGCTCTTGTTACTCTCACATCATTCATATATGATGTTAACAATTATAATTATAATTTGACACAAAATGTTTTCAAGCTGACTATCTTAATAATGATTATAAGAAAACTTGACTGACAATTTTCACTTGTGACTTCAAAACCCAATATTCAATTCCTGAGAAAGTAATTTACTTCGTGCCTGATGGATCCAGCCTCTCCAATTGTATAATAGTCTCAAGTTCATATCCTTTGATGAAGAAAACAGGAAGAACAAAATGTGTTTTGATCTTATTCTCAACAAATATTGAAGAGTAATAGAAAGTAACAGATACACAGTTTTAACAAGGACATTTGAAAACTTCCACAAAGAATTGGAAGTTGAAGATGGCGTTGAGACCGATTAATTTTCTTTCCTTAATATATCTACATTGAATATAATAAATCACTGTAGAGGAACCTATGTTGTAAATTGATTTTTTTTTAATAAACAACTCTGCACTTGAAAGGTATCATGCATATTCACAAAAGAAAAGTTATACTCACACAGTTGGTATACCCTGAACTTGTATTGGTGTAGGCTTCACAATATTCTTTTTCTCTAAGCCAGCTAGAATGCCGCGAGGAAACTTCATTTGTTTAAATAGTTTAATAGGGGGTGGAACATCTTCTCCTTCAACAAGTATCCTTAACTTTTTTCTCACACGCTCATGTCGAGCTTCAGACATAGTAAGAATAAATTGTGGAGGTTTCCAACTGCATAAAGAGAAAACAATAAAATATACAAAAATTGAACACAAAAGTAAATTAAATGGGATATTTAATGACAAACTTACTAAAAAATTACAGAAAAAAATTTACCTAGTTTTTATGGGGTCTTCATATTGAATTCCTTTGGCCAATTCAGCCACACCCATTAAAGCTTTTTTCTCAGCTACACTTTCCAAAATTTTCTCTTCTTCTTTTAACTGCCTTTCCATTGCACTCTCTTTTTTGGCTATTTGTTATTGACATCAAAGGAATTTTTAATTATGTTTTGCACACCAGAACCAGATCATACAAAGTTTACAATTAATTCAACAGCATTAGGAAAGCTTAGAATATCCAAAATATAACATAACGTAATGTAAAAAAGCAAGTATTAGGAATATTTATTTCATAAAACAAGCTTCTGAGTTAAATTTTTTTGTAAACAAAGTAATGTAAGTATAATAAAGTAAATGTAAACAAAGAGCTTTTAATTGAACAGAATTAAATACTTTATACCTTACCCCAAAAGTTCAACATTAATCTACTCAAGTTATTTTACTGGTCAAACCTTATCAGTAAATTACTTAACTGCAATAGGGAGTAACCCTAAAGCAGTAATTTCGCATAATAGGGTAATATTAATAAATTTGAAGGTAGTGTGTATGATTGGAAATGACAAACTCCATTAATAATTAAAATAATAAAAATTACCTTCTGCCATTTTTTTGAGCTCAGTATGTTGGTCAAGTAAGCTTATGTTTGATTTACGGCCCCATACTTGCCCATCTTCATCATCTTCATCACGTTCGTTCTCACTAGATGATTTTCCCTTCTGACCAAATTCATCTTTAAGCTGAAATTCAACAATACATTTTCTTCAATTCTGCATAAAAACTCCTTTAATTACACTTCTCTATTAAAAAACATACCTGAGTCAAACGTCCTAGTTTTAACAACTGCTGTTTCTTTCTCTCCTTGACAGGAACATATGGAACATATTTATCTTCAGTTTCCGAGCTGCTGGGAGATTCTGACCGTCTATAACGCTGCATTAAAATAAGCACTCTTGTAGTCATTTTAAATAAACAAATAATAACATACAACAATGATATTCTCAAACTTGGCCACTCTTACTTTTCGTGCAGATTCTCCACTTTTGTGTGTTCCTTTACTACGATTAGTACTCATTTTTAATTAAAAGAAAACAGAACTTAAACTTTATCTTTTTCTTATTAATACGTAGGGACAACGTACACTAGTACACTTATTTGGTGTACTCACAGTACCACTGTGTTTTCAAGTCGAGATGTCAATATATAACTACGCGTTCCACAACGTTTGAGTTAAATCACAAACAATGAAATACACAAACACGTTACCACTTATGTTCTGTTAATATCCAAATAAGTCCAATTTTTCCCTTCCCTCTTATTATTGTTGCAAGTTCCTTCTCATGATCTCATCTTCCCTCGCACGCAGTATTTCAGTGTTTACTTCGATTTAAACGAGAAGTACTTGAAAGGCCAAAAGCTGAAAAGAGAATCATCCAATCAGGAGATTCAATACGAAAAATTCAAGTCATAACGAAGCTAACAATTCGAAGAAATTGGTCCCCACTCCTACAAGCTCGTGATTTTGAAGGGACTGTGATGGAATTAGACTATAGCCAATATAGCAATCGAGAGGGAATTTTAAATGCTTATATTCGTAAATAAATTTCCCTATAAGTTTCGGTCATTATTCAAACCTGCAACAATAATGATTAATAGTTAATGATTGAGAGCTGAGAGTATATAGCATTTTCCCTCGAGATTGAGATGGTTTATTAAAATAGACAGGGTTTTGTAGAAATATATGCTGTAAGGATGTCCGTTCTCTACTAGTTAAAAACAATATATTATATTGACTCAAACCAAAATACGGATGTCAAGAAAAGTTTGGATAATTTTATAGACAATTATAAGAAGTAATAAATATAACCGTATTTTCTTCATAACAAAGTTTTAGGTATCATTCTGTGTAAGAATGTCTGAGGACCGCTGTTTTTTTTCTTTGATTTATTGTTTTGAGAAATGAAGTTGATCTTGGAATTGTTCTGGGATATTTTTATACAATAGGCCACCGTTTATTTTATAGAGTAATTTATTCTAACAGTTAGCGTCTTTCTGGAGAATATATTGAAAATGTTTTAAGGACTCGTCTAAAGTATTCCCAAAAATCAAAATATCCGTTTCACAGTCAGACGGACTCGAGCACATTTAATTCGATCGGCGATTATCAATGTTGGAGAAAATCGGCTGAACGGTTTAGGTCAGGAGTGTCCAACTTGCAAGGCCTCAAGGGTCACAACAAAAACATTTAATATCGTTGCAGGCTTTATTTTCCTTACTCGAAAATCTTCACTTTGTGACCTGACTTCCCTGTAATGTTGATATCGACGCTTTTTCCGGCTGCTTTGAAATGGAGAGGGGGGGGGATGGAACCATGCGTGTTATCAGGCCGTACCACCCATAACGCAGTGAATCAAATATGGACGATTTTTAATTTCTGAATATGCTAGAAAAAATCTTTATTCAATACTTTACCCATTTTTACATTAAACGGGGTGTTGGCCGATCGAATTAAACGGGGTGTTGGCTCTTCCAACTAATAACAATAGGGAACAAAAATTCAACACTGTTTTGTCTCAGGAAGAAAAATATGTGATTCTGATAGTATTTTTTTCTAATGAATTGAAATATGGTATCAGTTTTTCCCCATCGCTCAAGGTTTCTGAGAGACAGACATAAAATTTCATACATTTCAATACATTTTGCCAGGGCCCCACCACCCCGTAGCGGCCGGCAGGGAAACGTACTCCCAAATTGAACCCCGAGAAATCCGCGCGCATTAGGATGGCAAGAAAACGCGGAAATTCAAATATTGCCCTTCACCTATCGAGAAAATGTGAGATACATTCTTAGAATTTGTGCTTCTAATTTATTTACTCTACAGGAAGCATTTTTTCGAAAATATTGGGGAAAAAGAGTTTTAAAGAATACTGTATTAATGTAATAAAATACATTCCTGGAGTACATTTCAAGAACTCCCAAAATTTCCTTCCTGCATCCTTGTACGTACGTATGTATGTATATTTCAAAATCGATTTTGCTGTGTCATCGCACCTCACAAACACTAGTTCTACCAGCAAGAACTCTATTAGAAACACTTTCTTCATTGCATTTACTTAACGTTTTTTATTTATTAAAACTACGGCTTTTTTGGAATATTCTTTTATTTTCGTTATTTGGAAGAGTATGGGGTTAATTTACAAACATTACCGGTTTTAATTTACAAAGAACTGCTTTTATTACAAAGAACAAGAGCATTATTTGTACAGTTAAAAATTATAATAACATTGGCAGTTTTGAGTCTAGAGCAGAATAAATAAAATTTAGTCCCTATTTTGTAATAAAAGAGGAGGCATTCAAAATCAATCTCGGACTTGCTATTAACACTTCAAAATACGGAGAAAATTAAGAGCTGATTAATGTAACATTTTGTACCACATTTTCGAAATTCTCCCTCCTCACTGCTTTTACCCATCTAAAGCACAATTCTTTATTAGAAATGGGAAACCTGTATGTTTAGGAAAATGCAAAAATCGTTTATGACGATCACAACCATTTACTAATCACATGAACATACCTGTGAAACCTAATTTTACTCCCATTTTCATCTATTTTACCAGCTCTATTTGTGCAATTATACGCATAACAGGAAACTAAAAATATATGTTATATAATATATACCAATATAAATAAATAAATTATGAATAAATTGAATAAATAAATAAATTGAACAAATATTTATTCTTTAATTCTTGATTATTTAATTTTAGGGAACTTCTGTTTTAAGTACATAAAACCAGGCGTATTGTCCACAACTCTGACGAAATTCTTGATTAATCCTAATTTTGTACGTAACAGAGATAGTTACACATTCTGTGAGGAATATTCATTTTAAGTGTCTCATTAAAAAATTCTTTCGTCAAAATATTGTTTCGTATACGTACGTATACGGGAAAATAAAAATAGTCTTTAAATTCAAAATGACGATTACAATAATTATATAGTATCTTTTGAAGAAGATTCAAATCATTTAGCTGGGAACCAAGCATTTCATACTTAGCATTTAAGATTCTTTTACATTTTGTATGAAATCTTCCTGAGTCAATAAATGAGGCTCAAATGAACAGCTTTGTTCAAAACTTCGAAAAATCGGTTTCTTTCTCTTCCATACTTCAATCAGAATCTCAACTCTCTTCCTCTAATGTCACCTACCCTTGAGGCCCTATAGGCAATTTTTTGCAGTGTGGATCTGGTCTCATCGCAGATTTGAAGTTAGGGTACACCATTGTATATTTCGATTCTTACATAATTCCTGTAATCTTTGTTAAGCAGAAGTAGAAGTCAGGGGAATGATCTTTGGTTTCCTCCAAATCACAGGGATGGTAAATGCCGGGTGCCAAATGTGGCGGGTGCCACTTTTCCACACAGTGAGAAGCCTATAGATAAACGATAAACAACAGATGTGTGTGCCAGTGTGTGCGCGCGTGCGTGAGTGTGTGCGCGTGCGTGCGTGCGCGTGTGTGTGGAGGTCCCGGTCAGAGGCACTGCAGTGACATCAGTTGATACCCAGAGCCACCTCTTTCGGTCGTCCATTGATGTACTGTTCATTCAACATTCGTATTATATCGAACGAGCATCAATAAGCATTGCATCCTTTACATTCCTGCACTTGAATTTCCGAAATCTGCATTAAGATACTTCTAGTGTACTCATGCGAGAGCTCTCGCATGTTAAACCTCACCCTCTTCCCCGTCACTTACTCTTTGGATTTATTATGTAATTTAATTTCCGAACAGAGAGATACACCCGTGCAATTCAATCGCATAGAATATCGCATGTTTAATTTCACATACAGTTCTACATTCTGCACGACTCTGAATGGTTAGGTTGGTATCCTAGTATACAGTTTTTCGGCAAAATAGGGACGCCGTCATTACGTTTCTACCATACATTCAGATCACCGCCAACATATTGCAGAAGCCCTCCATCATGCAATGAAGGAATCACGATCGAACGTCCGATGTGTTCAAAAACAGATTTCCTTCTGCCCTTGTGGACTTCACACTTGCAGCTGCTTTCACTTCATGACAATAACTGTGCACTATGTGTATAATTGTGCACTAAACTTCTCATATACAATCCGTCAAGCAAGGTTTTTACAATCGAAGTTAGGTCCAAACGACCGAGAGCTGCGACCATTCATTACAAAGGTCAGATTGGCCCCCGTGTTGCGGAGGCAGACATCCAAACTGTCAAGCTGTCAGGAGAGCCACCCCGCGTCGATGCGTACTCTGCTGCCCCACTCCGTGCCTATGAATTGAAGTCCCAGCAATAGTAATAAGAGACCTTCGTTCTCTCGCGTCATCTATAACGATCGAGTGAATTCCTCGAATCCTCAAGCGACCGCACCTGGCGTGCAGCATAAAACACTTAGAAATAAAAAAAAAACCCCCCACCGGAACCCCTTGATCCAGGTATCCATCAGCCTGCGGACTTGCATAACAGTTCTGGGACTTGAACTATTCCCACATACCCATACAGAGCTCGATTAGTCGATCCGAAGCCCAGGATTGAAGACCGACCAATATTCCTGTACTGCTCGCAGAGTATCACAACATCTCTATTCATGTCGCTAACCTCTGGTGATAGGTCCTGGGCCGCCCTCACAATGATTAGAATTTTGCTGGGAGGACTCTCATTTTCTGTATCCGTTGCCTTTACTGCTATGCCGAAAGACCACGTGAAACTCCCCGTCGGGTGGTTCCTCTTATCTTTCAGACAGCACCACCTCACCTCAGCGGCATTTGCAAGCTGACGTAAGTGGCCGTCTTCTCCACATCGTGACAGGATTTCGACCTGTCGTCCCTTGGCGAGTCGCGCGTCAGATGTCCGAACGCCCAACAACATAACAACTTCCGCACAAATTACTTTCTCTAATGCGTCAGTTCACCCACCCAAGTGCGAACACGGCCGCTCCTCCCATTCCCTCCTGGCTAGTTTCCGTCGGTAGACGGATCACAGCAGTTTGTGTGCCTCTGTATGCCCTCCGCACGGATTGTGCGCATGCTAGCGAACAGTCATTTTAATTCCCCGCTTACAGGCTTTCACGTCTGTGAAGTTTAAGTCTTTCAGCCGCCGTTTCAAGCCTCTCAAAGGTCGCGAATCTCGAGGTCCATAAGTTCGGCTTCTCCCGCGTCTTTTACTCTTGATATCTCACCCAGCTTTTTCCAGAATGTAGCTTCAGATATCTCGTGGAGGCCTGCTCAGATTCTGCAACCTCAGCAAAGCAGGTATCCCGGGCTTCGATTCCTTTCCTCACCTGCCGCGTCCCGAGCATCTTTCAGAGATGAGAAACTCTCGATCTGCCTATAGAACTCAAGGCATACGAAAGGGCCTCCGTCACTTGACTTAAACAATATCGAAATCGGGCATAAGAGTGCGGGCTTCGACGCGCCTTCGGTCTCTTCCTCCCTACGAAATGCCAATCATTACCTTCTCATGATTTGGCTCGGTTGCCATCAGACGGTGTGTTTCAGTGCCTGAGGAATTCAGCAGTGAATGTTCCTTCCCGCACCGACTATGATCGCTTCTCTCTTGCCACTCTCGTAGATCATCGTTCTTCTTTCTCGACGTTGTTCGTCCACCGCTTACTGCGCGTCCGCAACTCCGCCGCCGCTGCGAGTCCCACCACAATCATCGCATTGGGCCCAATATCAGATGTCTGCGTCTCCGCCTCCACCGTCCTTGGGCCAATCACATCGTTCACTGCGGTTCGCAACTCCGCCGCCCGCGAGGACCTACATCAATCTTTCAGAATTCCGGCAAAATACCGGACTCAGCAGCGAATTTCGCGTCCGCGCCCTCAACACGTCTCGGGCCAATTACATATGTTACTGCAGACTGCAACTCTCCCCTGCTCGAGCTCCCCATAACCATCTGTTATCGATTCAACCCCCATGTCTAGCGGTTGAAGTCTGCGTCTCCGCCTACTCGTTTCGGGCTATTACCCCATAGATCATATCGTCCGTGTGTATACCAACCATTCTCATTCAAAGTCTGTCGGATTGGAATCCCAACGCTTTATCTCTCCTTTGAACATTATTCCGTGCAGGGACAAAATGCAGGCATATCCCGATCTTCTTCCCCAACTCCAGAACCTTCACCTACTATATCTTTCCCAGACACTCTTTGGGTTGTGTGTGTGGTTGTGGGTGTTCACCAACTTGCACAAACAATGCCCAGTTGTGCTCAGCCAATTGCCATCTGCGAAAACAAACGGCCCCCGATGACCGCAAGGATTCTTTCTCGTCATCAACCAGAACGATCTGTTGATAAGAAGAAAGATAACGTTGTCAAACCCACAAGTTAATAATACGACACACGCAAAATATGTGGATGTATATATATATATGCGCCG